TGTGTGTGTTTTGTTTTGTTTTTTGAGACAGGGTTTCTCTGTGTAACTTTGGAGCTTGTCCTGGATCTTGCTCTGTAGACCAGGTTGGCCTTGAACTCACGGAGATCTGCCTGCTTCTGCCTCCCGAGTGCTGGGATTAAAGGTGTGCGCCACCACTGCCCGGCTAGACTTATATATATGTTTTAAATTCATGGGCCTTCATAAGCTCTATCATTAATTTTCCCCAGTCTATAACTTACTAGTCTGTTTCTTATAACCTTTAGAAACTCCAGTCCTTCTTAGTGTGAAGCCTGTCAGCAGGGCAGACTATACAGATGACAAGGACTGACCAGGCAGATGGGTATTTGCTGTTGTTAAAGTTATAGTTAGCCACCAATGTCAGCAGAGGTCTGTGAAGGATACATCTGAGTAGGAAGGATAAGTTAAATGGTTTTTGTATTACCTAAAATGACAGAGATGGACTCAAATAGTCATGTGAGGCTTCCGTGGTTCATTATACAAGCAGTAGCTGGTCTCAGATGTCAGAAAAGAGCAGCATTTAATCTTCTGTTGTCACACAGAGATGTCTTTGGACATCAGACTCGGGTCTGAGGAGTTTTTCCTGTAGAAGAACAATTTTCCCTATCGGGAAAATGGACCTTATGTTGATGAGGCCGAGTCCAGCAGTCAATCAGAAAGCGACCACAGTTTGAGCAGGTTCTTGGCAGCAGGTGAGGCATGGGGCAGCTTATTTGTGTGAACCGTGAATGTAGTAAACGTTTGTTATTACTGGATACAGTTTCTTTTGTACGACTCAGTTCAGGCTGTAGGCAGTGTCAGGCTAGGAAAGGGTTAAGGTGGGAAAGTGGCAAGGGCCTTCGGCAGGGGGAGGTGTTATCATAGGGCCGGAAGTTATACTGTAGCTTACTTGGCTATCAACAGTGAAGAAGTGGCTTAAGGAAGGGAGGGGGGATGGTGCTGGGCTGAAAGGAGGGACTTTCTGGAACATGGCAGTTGAGGGGGAGGAGGTGGAACTGTTGGAGCAGCACAGATGAAACAAGCTGCAGAACCCATGGGGGAGGGGGCCCCCGTAGCCCAGACACAGGCCTAAGGGAAACAGTCGCTGTGACCCACACATGGGCCTCAGGAAGCTGCACTTGAGAGGCTCAGGAGTGACCAGTTGTTAAGGAGAGGCTGATGTGCCGAGTTCACCCCTGACTCCTCCTTGCTGGTCACTGTAGGTTTGGAATCCACTGCAACCAATCTCATCCTAGCTAATTCCCTGCAATGGCCCAGTTTCCAAACAGAAGAACTTTCTGGGGTTCTGTAGTGGAGGATTTTGTGGGGACTCTACATGATGGAGTGCAGCTAGTCTCAATTCACACCTTTGTTTAAGAGCTCTAGATCCTTGGTGAGACTCTACTCTCTCCTCTTCATTGGCTGTGGAAGTTCCATGTCATTTCCTCCCCACCTTCCTGCAACCTGGACTGGTCCAGGCAAGGACATACTCTAAGCGCTCTTCTGGTATTTGCTATCAATCTCTTCAGGGTTTTATTCCACAGAGGTTTCAAGGAACCCTGGCTCCTTCACTGGAGCAGTCCACAGTGTCCTGAGAGAGGTTCCCTGGTTAACTGTCAGGTTGACACTGCTTAGAGTCATCTGAGAAGGCAGCCAGAACTGAGGAATTGCCTAAATAAGATTGGCCCATGGGCATGTCTGTGGGGATTGTCTTGATTGTTAACTGATACAGCAGAGTCCAGCCTACTGGGTTGAGTTAAGTTATATGAGCTAGTTAGCAAGCAAGAAGCCTGAGCCATACCTCATGCAGTTTGTAATTAATATTAAGCCTCTGAGTGATTATTTTATAAGCAGCTGCAGGACTGTGGGGCCCATAAGTATGGCGTACTGTATCAGTTTACAGTTGATGATGCTCTGTTTTGTCTGCTTTCTCCATTGCTTTTCAGGCCGTTAACTCACTACAGCCTTCTCCTGCTTTAGACAGACACTCGGTGAATCTCCATCAAACAAACAAGTGCTAAGTGTTTCCAAACTTGTCTGGTGCCACTTACTACAGAGGCTGCTTGCCTGTGTTCTTATTTCTCATCAATGTATTTTGTATTTATATTCTATATTGTTTTGGACTTTTAGACATAGTAAAAGTAAAGCAATAAAATTAGAACTCCTCACAAGATTTTATTACTGTCAAGTGTCTTCTGTGACTCCATTTGACTAATGTATGTTGCCATTCTTACACATACCATTACAAGAACTTATTCTATTGGGTGCATTGGAAAGAATTTTTGTCTTTCTTATTTGCAATCTTCCTCAAATACTCAAATGTTTCAAGAAGTTTGCATTAACAGTGTGTGTATTTTATGTTGTTAAAAAGAACCGACTTGGGAGATGAGTTGGTCAGTTAAATGTCTGCCACACAAGTATTGAAGACTTGAGTTCAGATCCCTAAAACCCTTGTAAAAGCCAGGTGTGATGGCATGTCTACAAATCCCAGTGTTGGGTGCAGGAACAGACTAGTGGATCCTGGGGGCCAGCTGGCCCACCAGTCTAGACATCTTGTGAACTTCATGCTCAGTGGGAGATCATGCCTCAGAGTGACAGAAGAGACATTTGATATAGACCTTTGTCTGAACCTGCACTCATGTGTGCATGCACACGACTCACATTTATACCTCACACATGTACACATAGTGAAAAGTAACAGGTTAGCTCGCTATGGGAGCTGATGTGTCTGTTTTACACACAGGAGTTTGGTATATTATTCTTTTTAAAATCATTAAAGCTCATTTAAAAACTCATTTAGTTTTTATCAGAAAAAAGTTTTTTCATAATACATTCATTTGGCCCAGGTCCCTAAGGAGTGTTTTTATCAATAAGAAGTTTTATTTACAAAGTCTTATTTTCCTACATCAGTTGTGACTTAAGGCTTTATAGAGATTATGAATGACTCAGCTCTTTGATTAGCAAAACACGCACATGCAAACCAAGCCCACGTGCCTGCTTTTATTATTCTGTTTACTGCTGTCTGCATGTTTATTATTTTTGTCTGTCTATGTTACTTTTTCTAACAATTTCTTTGTTTTTGAAATCTGGTCATGGACTGAGGGAACCCAATAGGAAGGCTGCTTTGTATTATAGGAGAACATGATTCATTTCCTGTTGAATTGTGACTCTTATTTAAAAGACAAAGACATGGCCACAAACAAACTCCTTGATTTTCCTGCATCTGACACATGTATAGGGTGGTATGCTGTCATAGTTTGCGTTTGCGTGCGTGCACGCATGCGCACACACACACACACACACACACACACACACACACACACTGCCTAATGTCACAACACAGAGGTTTCATGGGCAGTGGAGAATTGTAAACAGCAACATGTTTATGAGTATTTGTACACTATTTCTGAGGACCCATTTTTATTAGCAAGTTGCCTTTCTTTTACATTTATTATTTATTTCAACAGTTTGCAGACCCATTCTGAATTTTGACAAATGCATAGTCATACAGCTACTACTGAAGTAAGTTTGAGCCCACTGGGGAAATACCCTCACGGCAGCATCATGCAGCCAAACTAAGCTCCTCATCCCCTCTGGCCTTCATTACAGCTTTGCCTTCTCTGGG